TAATTCTATTATTATATAATATGCACCTTAAACATGGACACTTATTATTCATTAAAAGCAATAAAAAAACTAAGAAAAGTAGAAAAATCCAGTTTATTTTTCACAGAAACAGAAAAATAATAAAATTCATATAAAACCACCACCTAAGGCCACAAGTAAGCAAAGCAGTTAGTCATAGTGAGATAGGTCGAGTATATTTACTCAGGTTTCGGGAGCTTAATTTGGTAAATATTTATATGTAAAATTCATTATTGAAATTGTATGACCTCACATACATATAATTGTATGTCTAGTGCACGTAAACAAGTCACAAGGACTATATCTCAAACTGTAAACTATTTGTGATTCTGTGTGCTTTTGGTTTTGCTTCTTGTGTTATTTCAAGTTTTAGTAATTATGTATATCTACTTGTAGAAGTTAGAAAATAAATAAATGTTACTTAAAATATTCCATTCCTCTTTCACTCATAATCTAGTAGGAAAGGCTGGAGATGACTAAAATTGTGTGGGAGTCTGTGGGAGTCTGTGTGTGTGTCTGTGTGTGTCCTCAACTTTTGTTAGCATAAGTGGGGGAAGTCATACCCACTGCTAAACTTTATATCTTAAATAGCCGAGTGCTCAGGGCAAATACCCTGCTTCATCACAACCAGAGACCTGCTGAATTTGGTGACAACATTTGCATGCAAACACTAGATTAGTCTATCTTAATCCCATGTGTGTATTGTTTGGGCCCATGGTGCCTTTTGTAATGTGATCTCTCATGCCATCCTTTCTTCACTAATGTCACAACTACAGAAAAGAATCCTGGTGACAGGTTACAAAGTGGTAATATTTTTGCCAAACAGTTCCCGCTCTGCCTGCAACCAGGAGTTGAAGACGATTCAACCTGGATTTTGCAAAATATAACTGTTAGTCAAACAAACACTGGTCTGTGTAGGACTTCCCTTAATTAAATCCAAATACAATGTCTGTGAGGGTGCAGCACTGATGAACTTCTTTAGTTCAACATAGGGTTTACTGAGAAACCATGGGTGTTTCAAAGCATCACACACACACACACATGCATATATAAGTATGTATATGTATATATATATATATAGATAGATAGATATTATGACGGAACATTTTATTCCTGAAATCTGGAAAATTCAACAAAGAAAACCATTAACTGTGTATTGGTTTTATTTGCAAGATGGTTACAAAATTTTGCTCATAAAAGAAATATGAAAATTCCAGGCAAAATTTAAATAACAGTTAAGTACTAAAACAGCACATTTGAAAATGACCATAAAAGTGAAAGATAGACTAAATTTTGTATTTAATAAAAATGTTGACAGCAAATATTATATAACACAAATCTATGCTTTTGTTTTTTCTGTTTTAGTCACATTTTCAGTTTGTTACATATTTTGTAAGTAAATTATTACATTATATGTCATCAAATGCATAAGAATGTGATATTAAACCAAAAGTCAAAATTCTTCCATCTTTAACAATAACAACAATATAATAGCCTGACTAAAATGTTTAATGAAACAATGTATTCTATTATAATTTCAGAATTTTCTATCATATAAATATCACTCTAACTACTGTAACTCTTTTAAGCAGTTAAAAATAAAGCCAATAGACATGTATATACAATTGAACTAAATACAACAGTCCTGTAACATTTTTCTGTACATCTGCTCACTATAATGTATGTTTACATATTAATGTGCAGGACAAATTTGTAAACATGAAAATCTGAAACTTTGAGAGGAAATGATACTAGTCTTTTCACTCTCAATATTTTATTGAAACAGCATGTCAAATCTGGCCAGCCCCAGACATGTAAATAGTTTTAATATGGGGTATGTTTCAAATGTTCTATGTTATCTATTCATTCTTTTTCATGTTGCCATCCAAACCCTGTTTATTTATACAGTTTTAATACAAATTATCATTTAATTGCAGACCAAACCTAAGGAGATTAAATGTATACCAAGGCAGTTATATCAAAGCAACTGCCACCAGTGCCTAAACTATCTATACATTTGGTTTGTTTTAAACTGCTCCAATAAACATGCTAAATTCCAGTGAAATCAACTGGCAAACTGTTGCTATATGCTAGACTATTGTTATTTTGGCTAGGCAAAGATTTTTCAGCACAAATCCAACATAGTTCTAAATTGGAATGAAAACATTGTGCTTCCACCTCGTCAGTTCAGTTCACAAAGTACAGTACATGCAATTAGACATTTCTAAATATATTTAAATATGCCTCTCCACATACGTATACATAATTCATAGTGTATATGAGTATCCAATGAGTAGGTTTTCTATGCAACATTTCTATTTATGAGTGGAAAAACAAAATTTAAATTATTTTAAAAGAAAAGTAAAATACTCCTTTGGCGATTTCATGAATATAATACATATGCATTATGCATGTATATACATATATCAGTGTGACATTTGTCATTTGTCAAACCATATTCAGATAAGGAAAAAACATGTTAGTGGGATTAAATAAGGAGACAGAATACACATTATCCTACTTTGTACATTTTGTATAATTCTATTGCATTATAAACTATTTGTCATTAGCATGCATATAGGATTTTGCAAAATATATTTTTTTAGTATTTATACAAAACATTTATTTCAGCTACATTCTGGCTCAGCCAGAAAACTAACTGGCACATCAGTAATATTTAAAAGATACATTTTACCTGCTTTGTGTGCCATGATTTTCCCCAATGTGCAAAATAGAAATAATTAGGAGAATGAAAGGAAAATCTTCTATAACATCCAGTGCAGATGCTTGTCTTTATTCATCATTGACAACCTTGTCAAGTTGTTAGCACACAGGATGCTGATGGTTCAAAGACTGATTATTCACAGAGTCATCACTTGCTGATTCTAATAGGTCATTTCTTTTCATGCCACAGACATGCTTCAACCTCAAAGACGAATGAAATCATGTCCTTCTCTGGACCATCTGGAGAACCCATGCTTAAAAGCAGTGATGTATCATGAACATCTCTCCGCAGCTCAGGAGGAAAAAACTTCTTCACTTCCATAGTACACTGAAAAGAAGCAATAATATTAATTAATTTGAAGGCTTTAAGCCATGTAACATAAAGTGCTATAAAGTTATATTTTGATCTTTAAAAATATAATATCCAGAGTTTAGGTACTCTAAACAGTGAAAAAAATGATGATATTAAAGATATTGATGTTCTAAGCCATGTGACTTAAAGTCTTATTTTAGTATTTAAAATGCAGTAATGTAATGTAACAATTTATCCACTTAGACATGTGTTCTGCAACCAAGCTCAAATTTTATCATTGCTTTCAGCTTGACTAACTGCTCCACAAAATAGTATCTTACTGAACGGGGAATCTGACTACAGGGCTGAGCTTGACTGCGAGCTACCTGAGAATAAAGACTCATGCACTTATTTCCTGACTTGATGTGCAAAGTTTACAAAACTGATGCAAAGTTTATTTTCTCTAGGCTTATTTAAGTCACATAGCCAGGACAGGTTAGGAATCAGATTTATAAACCAAGTCTTTTGTTTTCTTTTAAAAGAGGACAGGAGGTACACATATACGTATCTTGAAACCAGAAGGAAATTGCGGTTTTAATTATTATAATTTGGGACTTGGGCAGTATAATTGACTGCTTTTATTTGCTAACCACTTCACAAGTTTTCTAACCAAGTTCTTTTGAATTTTTTAAGGGCTTTTAAAGCAAATTAGCATTTGGTTGAGGCAGTTAAAAATGGAGAAACTCCTAGATTTTTCCATAACCATAGTCACGATTTATCAGCTTTCATGAGGTCTGCAACATCTAATTGAGGAGTTATGGAAAGGACATAAAATGTTTATGTGCATGATTTAATGGTGTTAACAGATTTCTGCAGATGAACGATTTACTCTGAGAAAAAGGGGCTACTTGCTGGACCTCCTGAGGTTTCTTCCAATTCTAATTTTTATGAATGTTTTCCCTTGGATACTACTTCAATTAAAAGTGGGAAATGACAATTTTTAAAATTTTGTACATAATAGTTTAAAATAAATGTTAGACTTTTAGCATTTAAGCTTTAGCATCTTTTTATTAATTATCATTGCTAGTGTAATTACATATTAAAATAAAAGTTTTCCTCTTTTAACCTTTTGTCCAATTTAATTTACCATGACTGTGACACGAGATTACAATTAAATTCTACGAATGTAATGAAATGTCCATATTTATGAGCTCAAATATATTCTTACTCTTCAAATAGTAATTTCAGTTTTTGGATCAAACAAAATAACTTGTTTTGGTAAACTGTGTAAAAATCACCAGGGTGTTTTAAAGAATATGCTAATAGACTTCATCTTGGACTCATCTAAAAATAAAAGAAAATAAAGATCAAATTTAATTTGGATGGTTTACTTTGTATTTGATCTTTGCACTGCTTCATAGTTAAATAGCACTCAGGCTACAAAGACTAATAAAAAATATTTGGAGATTTGTGTCCCTGCGTAGTCTTCAAAATTAAAGTTAGCATTTCCTTCAACAGCAGAGTATAAATCAAATTTCTTTCATAATTGCTTGATAGATATTTATAGTGAATCCCATCTTCATAGATAAGACTGAAATAGTTTCACTGGTTTTAGAGGAATTACAACCATATTCCTTTCTCATTGGTAATAGGTAAAAGGCAAGTTGTATGATAAGCTGACAATGCTATAATTGGAAACCTAGTCACTGGGCATCAATTATCACTGATGGTCTATATCATCAAGTAGTATTTATTAAGTATCTTATTTTGATGTTCATGGCCATTGTAATATCAGATTCTTACTGGTCACATTTGACACTATAAAGAATGAATATTTGATGACTTACTCTAAATGCATAACAAAGCAATGCAGTATAGTACAAGCATTTTAAAGAAATGTTGATCTTTTGTTAAAAATAAAACAGGTGCTTACATGTAATTGTTTTAAAATGTGACTGTTGTCCCATTAAAGGCAATGGTTGATTGCTGGATACCAATTAGAATGATTACATGTGCCTTCTTTGAAAGGAATTTGACTGTTGTCATTTCCAACGGGATGGTTGGCAGCATTTGCCAGTCTAGATGGCATAGAGAAGTTGTACCTATAATAGCCATGTGGGGGATGAAAAGAGCAACCAAGTGCTTCTGGGGCAATGGGTTTTGGCTGGAAAATGTTTCCAGGTGTCTGTAATCCACACAGCATTTGATTGGCAGAATGAGAGGCTTGTAGAGACTGTCCATTGAAGTTTTCAGGTGAAGCACTGTTTGAACTAGTGACAGCGCTGGAAGATAACATGGGCATTTCCATCATGAGTGGGGGTAAATACTGAGAATTGTTGGAGTTTGCTAGGCTTTCAGGAGTAGGTAAGACAAAAGGCTGCTGTCGCCAAAAATTAGTTGGGCAAAACTTGTAGCAAAAGGGCAGGTTGATATTGTGCAGGTATGCCTCTGGACAGATCATTCCACGGGAGCTTGTAGGTATGTGAAACATAGGTGGAGAACATGATGGAGACAGTAAGGAGTTCAAAGGAGAGGGAGCTCCTCCACTAGAGGTCACTGGAGATGAGCCACTGCTGCCGCCTGTGAATGACAAGTAGGGCAATGAACAATGAACATGAGTTTCCTGCTGAACCAGTAAATATACCATTACCATTTTTATTTCATTCTTAGATTAGTTTTCCTTGCAAGTTTAGAGTTGCTTTAGCTTGGGGAGAGATGTTTATTCCTCTGACTGAAGCAGAGTATACTGCTGGCACCACTACAACTTTTAGCAGTCCTGCTATGTAGCATATCCTGAACTGAACACTCACTACATTCAAGGACTTTACTAGGTAGTTTACATATTATCCAACAATTAAAGAAGTTCAGTTATGTGACTCAGACAATAACACATTACAAGTAAAAACTAATTCTTTGCTTTTCGAGCTTTACATTGAACAAAGTGTTTTGTTGTTTGGGATTTTATAGACAGCTTCACTATTAAAATTAAGTGTAAAAGAAAAAAGTTTTCTGCACATAAGTGAAAAAAGAATCTATAACCATTAGTACTTTTTCTCCTATAAAAATCATATATGGAGAGACTTCTGTGGTTTTTTATATCAGAAACGACAGCACTGCTTCAAGTTCAGAAACATTAGGATGAGAAGAAAAGTGTTCATAAGATGCCCTGCAGAAGTCTTTTATTGCTTAACGGCTACCAAAATTAAGAATATGTATATGTTTCAGGACAACCTAGACTCTGGACTTTATTTTTGTAAATGTTTAAATTCAATCAAATAACTGTGTTTGACTGGACTTGATGAAGTTGTGAGGTTACATTAGTAATATTGTCATTTTATGTTGTTAATTTTCTTAAATATTTTGCATATGTAGATATAGCCTAGTCTGTCATCAGCAGAGTAGCAAATGTCATCTGTAATTAAACATTCAACAGTCACTTTAAAATGTGGTACTCCTTTCCAATTTGAGTGCATTCTGGACATCTTAAATCATAAAGGAAATTATTTTAAATGATCAAATAATGATTACTTTCCTCTATTTTTAAATGCGTGTGCATTGTGTTGACTTGGATATTTTAAAGGCATGTTGCCTAAACGCTGTCAGTTATATTGATTTTGTAAAATAACTGTTCATGATTTTCTATGCAGCTCTTTAAACCACATCATTTCTACAAATAATTAGACTTAATTTATTCAAATTTCAATTAGTTGTTATGGCATCAGGTAAAACTGAGCCTAAGTGTAATGTTGATGATTTGTTCCATAAATGTAATGTTGAGTTCATTTTCAAAGACAAGCAGCTTTAATGGAGTAAAGATGAATGGAGAACATTTCATGCTTCTTACAAATAATATATTCCATTTATAGATAAATATTTGAATAAAGTTATACATTATCTAATTATGATGATGATGCTTTAATCAGGCAATGTACTGCCAGAGAGCAAACACCTTGAAAATGTTTTTAATATTTATGGAAATTAAAGGAACTGTGACACAGAAAGGGAAGTCCTGTATGATTTCACTCATGTGGAATATAAAAGTTGATCTCATAGAAGTTGATAAGACAATGGTGGCTACTAGATACTAAGCAAGACGGGTATAAAATGGGGACAAAGAAATGCCAATCATTGGATTCTGAGTTATAATTACACACTAGCGAGAAGTCACAAGTGCTATTATTGCACAGTAGGATAATTTGTTCCATAAATGTAATGTTGAGTTCATTTTCAAAGACAAGCAGCTTTAATGGAAAGATGAATGGAGAACATTTCATGCTTCTTACAAATAATATATTCCATTTATAGATAAATATTTGAATAAAGTTATACATTATCTAATTATGATGATGCTTTAATCAGGCAATGTACTGCCTGATTAAGTGTAATAATGCATTGCAATTTTGGACAAATTATTATTATTATGGTTATTATATGGAAGTGATGAATTCTTAAGGAGATAAATATAATTGAGTAGGTTTAAACGTTTTAAAAAATTCACATGTATAAAAACATCAACATATACATGTATAAAAACATGAAATGGTACCCCCAATACTAACACTCAATTTTTTAATATGTAAGTTAAAAGCATTGTAAAAATTTAAAAGTATGCAAATTATGTCATATCCTCACCAGATTTAGCCCATGCTGTATTTTTACATGGCCTGTGAGTTCCTTTGTTGCCTTATTAATCATATCTCCTTAATAATTATTTTCTGTTCATAGTATTTATGTTTTACCTGCAGTTTACCTTCAAGTATTAATGTGCCAGTTCCTGTATGTGAATATATAGCATTACACTTGCATTTTATTTCTTTTTAGATCCTGTAACATGCTTATCATACATTGTGTCTTACATATTATAGACTCTGCAATACATTGTTATCTTGTACTAAATGTTCAATGAGTTTTTAGAGTCTGAAAATAAGAGCAAAGCATACGTGAGAATAAATTAGTTGTGATATCTTAGTGTTATTTCCAATATTTACTTTTCCACAAAGTAAAAAAGATAAATTAGAACTAAGTGATGGTAACTTTTAAATGAAATCATTTAAACACATGATAAAAATTTCTCCTGCAACAAAAATATTAATATATGTAGCTAATGTATTTGAAGATCAGGCCAAAAATAGGCCAGAAATCCAATAGTTCCTACAAATAAGGGGAAGAGATGCTGAAGAATCCATGTGAGATGACAAGATAAGGGTGTGAGATAATTGCACAAGAGAGATACCAGGAAGTCCTCCATTATCTCAGCTTTACTGTCTTCCTTTGGGCCAGCTCTCCTCTGATTTCAATCCTTATTTCCCCACTAGAATAAATACATAATCAATGAACTGTGAGCACACATTCCCTGGCATATCCTTATCCCCTCATGTAGTATTTGGTACAAGAGTTCTGCCTGTGTTTATCACATTAATATGTAGAAATAAAGCTGATAATCACAAGTTTCCTTACTTTGTGGGTCTGTACCAAAGGTTTTAAAATCCATAGTGAAAGAAGGCCTCCACGGGTAGGTTTCTAAAATCCCATCCAATACACCCCTAAAAAAGAGAGCAAATTTTCAGCAATTCCAGGAAGCATTTTGTGGAAACGAATTATTCATATAAACTTATTTTTATGAGTAACTGTCTGAATTACTGTTTCCGTTTGTCACTAGAACCTGAGGAAATTTCTGTAATTCCTCACAATTCTAGACTATATAGTATGCTAACATTGGGCAGGAGAGACAATGGAAGAAGGCATGGTTTGGGACACAAAACATGTGGTTTCTTTCCAGCAACCTACTATTCAGAGTTAGAGCTTCAGCGTCTCTGATCCACAGTTACCTCATCTTTGATATTTAGAAAAGAGCTATCTAAACACATTGTATGACTGTTATTCTACCTACCTGATTTTGATATTAAAATGGCTACATAAATATTAAGTATGATTGCTATTTTACTTACCTGTTTCTTCCTGGATCTCTAAATCCTTTAGCAAAAGGATTTCGGTCTATTTTCAGTTTGGTAATCTATAAATTCAAAAGGAAGACAAAAAGGAAGTCCGACTCATGCTTTCAACAATGGTCCCTTAATTATGTAGTACTTTAAATAGATGTAAGCATATAGGGAAGTCAAATTTAAGATGATTATCTCATTACTTGCTGGTCCCTTTTGCTCTGTTCATCTGTCTAACACAAGCATCACATAACTTGTTATCAAACTTCTCTAGATAACAATGAAGTAAATCCATAATATTATCCCCATTGTTTAAAATGTAATCCGTACAGTGCTAGCATCTGTGGGACCACTCCCATTTCCTGGGGTCTAGTCAGCTTTACCTGCTGATTTTGGTAAGCGGTCACTGTGGTGAATTCAGTTTCTTCAAAGGAAAACGTGTTAACCCCTTCGGTGGGAAGGGACTGAATCTGGGACAGGTCAATTGTGCTGTCTTGCTCCAGCACATGCACTCGTGGCTTGTATTTATGCATGGACTGTAGAATGATCTAGGGAAGAAATGGTTAAATACAGCCTGAGAAACTGACTTCTCCCCAACAACATTCCCTGTTCATGACCAACCCCAGTTAAGGCACACCCCCAAAACTAGATAAAGATAAGGCTGAGAGTCTCAGATAACCACATAAATGGACTTTGCTGTGGGCTTTGGCCCCCAGCAGAGGTCCTCACGGCTGAAGATTTTTCCAGAGCAAGGGGCCACAGCAACACTATGCAGCAAATTGCACATTCACATTCGGGCCTTTCCTGCTTCTAAATGTGGATGACCATGTCTTATGGAATTGTCATGGGAATCTATCTGATCACCTAATGGAAATTCCCTGGGCAGTAATGGTCAGAAATCTGCTCTTCCCCACCTCCTAATCCTGGTAGTTTCCTTCTCTCCTATTGTGGCTGGCACTAGACTAGACTGGGCAGGCCAGAGGCAGGAGTATCCCTAGGAAGAAGGATCTAGATCCATGAAACTTGTAAACAGGCAGGAACTGACTGCTATGGGAACAGATTATGGAGATTTCCAGCCTGAGTTCTCCTTTCCCTGGCTTGCTTCCACTCACCACATCACATCAAAGGGGTCCATCAAATGTCCCACTAACGTGTGGACTACAGGCAAAGCAAAAGTTCAGTGTTGCCTGGGAAACCAAATTGCCTGAAAGCCCTGAGGTGTTCCCTCCCACTCTCCTCAGCTGGACAGTCTAGTTTAAACTGGTCTCTTAGGGTTCTTTGGGGCCTCTGGGGCCTCAACCAACCCATTCACACCCCACAGTCCAGCACTCTCAGGTGTTGGAGGAGCCACTTTAATTTACAGATACAGAGAGTAGTTTCCAAGCAACACAAAACTTAAAATTAAGATTAACCTTTACCTCCTCAAGGAGAAAGATAGTGTTTACTCACATGGCCCTTGTCATCCAGCTCATTGTTGGTGAGTTTCACCCGATCAAAGGTGATGATTTGCCGCATCCAGCTTTCACCCGAGCAAGGCGAGTCCGGGTGGATATACAGTCTGGGAGTGATGCATGAATGGTCAGTATTCCCAGCTACCATCCACTGTGAGCTGTGATACACATACCTGAAAATACAGGCGTAGGGTGTAGCATTAGGCTTGGCTAATTCAAAGGAGAAGTATTTGGAGTTTTTCAGCTTAGAGCCTCTCCAAAGATTACCGGTTTATCCCAAAGGCTAGCAAACAGAAGATTCAACTTGATTTCCAAAGAGGGTTTGAGGGCAAAAATTAAAATAAAAATAAATAAACAAATAACAACAGCAACAACAAACAACAACAAAAACCCACTAAACAACCACGAGCCAGCAAAATGCGATGAAGTGTCCTGGAGAGTAAAAAGCACAGGACTTCTGAGTCTGGCTTGTATTTCCTCACAGAAACTGCAACAGGAATTAATCTAACTCATATTACCACTGCAATGATGCCTAAAAATCCACGAAGGACAGCGAGAAGCGGGAGGGAAGAAGCAGAGGGCTGAGCATTGCGTCTGGCCAGCCCACTGTAGCCAGTCATCCGGGAAGCCCATTCTTGCCACGAAACCCTTTCACCAATTAAACTTCACATCAGAAAACCCCAAAGGAACCCCGCCCCGTGCGGCCTCCGAACTGAATTTTCGAAGTATTTCCAATCTCAAACTGTCAGTTTTGCTCCACTTTCCCTAAGCCAGCTTCATCGCGAACAGCAAGCAGCTGGTTCGGTGGTTTGCTGGCCCTGGCTCTTATAGGTTGGTGAATTACACCTTCTCCTAGCCTTCAGGAACAGCAATGGCACTAGGCAGGCTCTCTCCAAGGACCAGGTAACACAAGCTCAAGGCTGACTTTCCATCCACAAAGACCCTGAGTCAAAGCACCAGCACATCAGTGGTTCTGGGCTGCTACTTCAAAACGTCCTACTAGATCTCCACTTAGTCCTGTCTAGTCAAGGACTTAAAGAGAAAAGGATAAAAGGACCCAGGTCCCCTCTGGGACCTTGCCATCCTTCAGGCAAAAATCTAAAAAAGAGGCAACAGACCGGGCAGAAAAACAGACCTGACCCACGGATCCTGCCACTAGCTTTGCGGCAAATCATGACGTCTTTGGGGGAACCTGCCGGGATTTCAGGGTATTCCCAGGAGCCAAGGTCATCTTTGAGCCTAGGGCATTTCTCCCTACTTATTATTTTTTTTAATTGAACTGCTTCTCTCCAGGACGCTATAGCAGAAACCCTCTGAAATTTACACATCTAAGGCAAGAACAGGGAATGGGATTAAAGGCCTCTGCACACAAGGGGGAGTGAATTGACACCACCTTCCGGGGGAGACCGTCTCTTCCTTCACTTGGAACCCAGATTTGAATGAGAAAATTCAACCATCAGCCAAAGGTTAGCAATCCTCTCTCCCCACCAGGGACACTTTTAAAAATAGTGCTGTCAGATGTCAGGTTGCAGGCCTGATGCTCTGAATCTTTATCCTCATCCTGGGGTAGATTTTTAAGCCTACCCACTGTTCTGGCTTTAGCAATGTAAATCAGAATATCCTCATTTTGACCAAGTTACCTATAGCGTTTGGAATCAACTGGCACCACGTCCATGACCACACAGTACTGCTTTGCTGGGTCCAACCCCTTCACCTTGATCCGTACACAGGGGAACATTCTCCTGTGGGAAACAAAATAGGGGCTTGGAATAAAAACAGAGTCTGACTTGGAAGATACTAGCGCTGTTTTGAAGGAGGATAAGTCAGGGACAAATACAGCCCCTTTCTTTTTTCACAACAGGTTCAGAGAATGGCATTTGTTTCACAGGAAAACATAGTTGATGAATCATTTGATATTTCTTAGCAGAGCACATTTTTTTAATGACAGGTGCTCACTTGTACTCTCTCATACCATATTAAAAATTATAAAAGAGGGGCTGGAGAGATGGCTCAGGAGTTAAAAGCACCACCTGCTCTTGCAGAGGACTTGGGTTCGATTCCCAATACTCACATTTTGGCTAACAACTGTCTGTAACTCCAGTTCCAGGGAGCACAACATCTTCTTCTAACTCTGAGGGCATTACAGGACACTGGTGCACTTATACACATACAGGCAATATACTCATACACATAAAAGAAAAATAAAAAAATAAATACTTTTTAAAAATAATAAGAGAGAAGGTGGTACAGAAAAGGATTTACTCCTCCCCTGCATTTTCAGAACAAGTGTCTGTGAGGTAGATTTAGGAAATGTTGAAATTAAGAAGGTTCAAAACCAAAAATTGCCTAGTTGCTATGGAGAGACTTCCCCACACCAAATGGCATCCATGTGGAAAGACTGACTTCCCAGTGTCCTAGCCAGGGACAGTATGCTGGAGTACTGTAAGGAGTATTTTCTGCTTGTGTTTGCTAGATTTCAATCACTTAAGATGCTGGAGAGACATCTGGTACTTGCCTACCCCTGCAGGTCTGAATTTTTGCACGCACTGCACAATCAGGATTTGGAAGAGTGAGTTCTTGGAGTAACATGGACCAGAAAGGAAGAAAGGAAGAGTTTGCTGAAGGTAGATACTTTTAGCACAATAGATTGTGTGGCTTGTGGCTTTCTAATATCTGCCAAGAAGTGGGGAGAGGGAGGAGTTCCACAGTTCAAAACTAGAGTATCCACATTAACCCTACTGTGTGTGCCTCCTGAAAATCTCTGTTCTAGACAAACCTGCCAGCCTTGGTAATGATCATCTCGGTCCCGATGTCGTGGAATCTCTTCCACAGGTCGGATCCTTGAAGCTCTACTTGGATAACATTTTTCTGTTGTAGACTTTCCCGGTCGTTGTCATCGCTGCCAGAGCCAGAGGAAGCAGTTTTTGAGGATTCCGTCTTGGATCGCTTTCCTGCATAGACACACAGATGCTCAGGTTTGACAGTTTCGCAGGTTGCATACAATCTCTTCTCAGGAACCTATCTTGGATGGGTCTTTCCCAGTATGAACTTTGTAGCTTAGTCTGGTCCCTAAGCTCCCACAAGAGCTCCTATCCTCTCTTAAGGGAGAAACGTCCCCAATTTTCATGCCAGGAAGGGCTTGAACTTTCACACTCTCCAACCTACCAGCCCGAAGTTTGCATATAAAGCAAGATCCCCTAGGGAAGCGGGGAGGGTGGGGGTGGGGCACACCCTGCTTCCTACTGAGAGGAACAGTCAAATCTGGCTGTTAGGGTTTTGTAAGTGGTCTGTGAGCCTCAGTCCTCCAAAAATATGTGGGACCCTCCCTTTCCTTGCCAAGGAACCACAGCCTTTGTAGCAGGATTCAGACTGTCTGAAATTTTTCCTAAGGTCAGGTGACTAAGGTGTTTTGCGACCCACAGAGTTGGGAGAGCTGGGCCAGGACATCCTGGAGTAGAGACAGCAGCCCTCCCACTGTGTAGCGAGCCTGAGGAAGAACAGATCTAGCCAGCCCCGGCGAACGGCTCAGAGTAAGGGGATTTCATGAGGGTACTCACCCGGCTGCTCGCTCTCCCCTGCAAATCCGCTCCGCACCTCCTCATCCTTCTCTAGGCTCTGTTTCTCCTGCAGCTCAGGCTGCATCTCCTCACTTGGGTCTTGAGATTTTCTTTTGCTGGGTCTCCCCATCAAGGCCTCCACAGAGAAGGCGTGCGCTCGAGAGCTCAGAGCCATCCCTGGAGGGGGAGAAGTGAATGAGCGCAAAAAAGTTTCAACCTGAGCCGTTTGGGAGGGGGAGAGGGAGGGCGCAGATGAGAGGCAAGAGAGGAAAATCCCGGGAGAAAAAAATATCCTAAATTCGAAAACCAATTTTTGGATCAGTACTCTAACAACAAGAATTATCGGTGTGTGTCTTTTTTATATATGTATATATTTTTCTTTAAAGAGACAAAATGAAAGGGGAGGAAGATAAAACTGGAGTCGAAATCCTCTGAAGTATCCTTTCCCTTTTCTATTCTCCTCCCGCCCAGGGTAAGTGTGCATACCATACCATCAGTCCTCAAATCCTTGATTGGGGACCTGACTGAGCGCAGAGATTGGCAAAGCCCAGCGTTTTAGGAAGCAGACCTGCCGCCAAAGGGGCCCGGGCCTGTGCAATTGGGAGATACTGTTGCATCCAACTGAGTGAATACCCAGCCGGTCACAACCTCCACTGTTTGTTTTGGAAACTGTTGAAACATAAAAAAGCACTGTGAGTGACACTTCAGAGTCTGATGGGGAGGAGGGGTTGGGGGTTGGTTGGACTGGGGCTCCAGATAGGCCGGAGGAAAAAGAGAAGGAGACACAAGGTTACTGTTTTACATTAAATTGTAAAACTCTAAGACATGCGAAATAATTGCCCACGAGGGGCCACTTTTCAAAAGAAAGTGCAAATATTACTTAACCAGATCCAGAGACATGTATCTGGGATTTTTGCTCTCCGGTGACACCACTGAAAAAACATAAGGGAGTGCAACGCAAGCTTTCTGGGCTGGTAGGTTGTGGAGTTAGGATCTCAAACTGGGTAGATGGATGTGCCAGTGTATCTTCTTCTTGGTAGGAAGACTCAAGCAGGGATTGGAAGTGGATCGGAGAAACCGCTGTCAAGTCCAGAGCCGCTGTACCTTCACTTCTCGTGGAGCTGCATATACATCCTCTTCACAGTCTCACAATTAATCTGAAAACACAGCCTAAGGACCCCACAGTCGCCAGGCAGCATAGCAGAGCTTTGCTCCCAAGAATGTGTGCCCCTCAAAGTGTTGGATTAAGTAATTAGTTCCAGTGCCTTCTGGAATCTCTTCTTGGGTTGGGTTTGCTTTTCCTTCAAAGGAACAATTTAATTCTTTGTGAAAGAAAGAGACTTTATTATTTAGGATTGTTTTTGCCTGCAGATGTGACATGTTTGCCTGTGTGCATGTGATTTGGTCACCCACTTTCCATCAGAAATAAGAAATCAGGTGCTTCTGGACTCCTATGAACCACATCTAAACTGGTGACAATTGCTCATTTAAGGAAACTTTCTAATGTTCTCTGATATGTTTAGTTAAAGGCCATTCAAATCCAAATCAAGGGAGTGGAGCATGAATGAACTTACAGTGTCTCAATACTGGAGTTTAAGAATATAAGCTTTTCATAGCCTTTTAATTTTGACTATGCAACTGCAAGTATACACTACCTAGATTTTCCATGGGATGATTGTTGTAATGGTGGTGGGATCATTTGGCCATGGGTAAGACACCTTTACGCAGTTGAATGATAGGTTTAAGTATGCTAATGATCTTGGATATCATGGCAAAGGTTTCTTTACAGTCTGAATGCTGCTGAATGGTATGATTCAATCCAGGGCTGGGGAAGACACTGTCTTTATCCTGGGGGCAGGGGGAGCAGAGTAAAAGTTTACCGGACAAGAAGGATTCCAGTGTACAAGGCACCTGTACTGAAAACATACAGGTCTGGATATAATCTTTGCCACGACTCATGGACATTTCTTTCTTCAGCTATTAAAGTCAGAGGTCAGAGTATTTGTCCATTTCTTCTTATTCAGAGGATATATATTTTATCCATTACATGTTCTTAGTTAAAACATACACTTCAGGGACAGAAAAGTCGAGCGTTTATTTCCCAATTTCACCCTGCTAATAACCATATAGCAATTGAATCATTATGTCCTACTCTGAGAATTTTTCTGTTTTGTATGCAACTCCATTTTATTGCTCAAAGGCAGGACATTCAGGGCATTGCCTTGTATCACAAGGGCACACTTGCTTAGCAGAGGTTTTGAACAAATTTCTACAAAAGTTAGGTAAAGGATGTTAGTTACAATGTCTGTTCTAGTATTTCATGCTGTCTACCATGATATGATTTTCTTAAACCAAGGAACTAGCATATCTTAGGATAGAAGTTCCTGTATTACAAGAAATGTCTTCCTTAATATTTATTACAAGCATGCAATTTAGTCATCCAGAACTTTTTGATTTGTGTAACCTAAACCTTTTCCATTCCCATTTTTATTAACTATCTGATGACATTACATTGAGAAACATGTAGCTCAGCTCTCCTTTAAGTTTGCTTGACTAAGGTGCAAGCAATTCTTGCTAGCTTGCATGTAAGGGAAAAAGATCAAATATCTAAGAACCAGCTTTACAATCTGCTCTGTTGCTACTGAAAAGAGCTGCCAGATACTGGGAGCTTAAAGAACAACTTGTTCTCTATACCTGAAAATCTCTTTTCTACAATGTCTAGGTTTCATCCTGAATACACATAATCTTTTAAAATAGACTCTCTACTATGATGTGACAGTGTCAAATATAGAAAGAGGATTGGAAACTTACAGATAAATATATATTAAATGGTATATAACATTTATTTTTTTACTTTATGTATATGAGTGTTTTGCCTGCATGTATATAGGTACACCACATGCGTACAGTGCTCATGGAGGTCAGAAGAGGGCGTGGATCCCCTGGAAATGGAGCTAGGGATGGTTGTCAGCCACCTTGTGGGTTCTGGGAACCGAACTTGGGTCCTCTGCAAGAACAAGTATTGTTCTTAATTGCTGAGCCATCTTTCCAGCCCCAACTGATATGACTCATCAGAATTCTTGAATATTATATTCATAACTATTATAAGATAAAATAAAGTAATTCATGTTTCTATCAAATGTTCTAATATAAATAATTGAGTACATACACTATTGAAACCTTTATGATACAAAGTATGAAAATTTTACTTCTGATGTTGTATATGTACATGGGAAATAATGTATTTAAAAGAAACTAAGTCTGCTTGGAGGAAAAAGTATCCTGTGTTGTGCAGGACTTACTAATTAAAGGTTTGATGTCAGACCCATATGTCGAGGAGATATTCCAACTCCTACTCCTCATTATGAAATAAATATTTCAAATATATATATGCTGTGTATCTATGCCTTCATTTTAATATAAATACTGCAGAATAAAATTAAAACAGAGAAAAAATTAAAACACAGAGACTGATTAGATGCCTGATGTTACTCTTTGGTAGAACCACAAGCATTATATGGGAAAGATTTAGAATGAACCCTCAGGAAAGCACAGCCAAGAAATGCCAAAAATTGACTACCTCCTCACATCATTTGAGTACCTGAATTTGACATTGCCTGAACTCGCTAAGTTACATGAAACAATACATCATCCTTGTTTGCTTAAGTGAAGTTTCAGGTGAATTTTCATCACTTGCAAACAAAAGAAATCTTGAAAAAAATGCATCCACATTGACAAAATTGTGGAAGATCACCTTGATCTCTCCATCAATAGGTTTGCCTTTCCTCTTTCTTCTTTAACAATAGGACTAGCTTTATGGATAAAGAAATTGTAAGCTATTGACTCTCTTAGGATTGTAAACCCAAAATACAAACTTGAATTTTAAATGATTAATTTGAGTTCGTACATGAACTTCTAGCATTATGCTAATAAATAGGAATAAAGCTGAAGGAGTAAGAAGGCACACTTTGGATTCAGATTGACATAATTAAAATTCTGACACTAATAGTTTCTAAGTAACTTACAAATGTCTGTTTCTTGGCATTAAATTGTTTTTTCTATGCTTCTAAGAGTTTACCCCTAATAGTATCATCATATAGAATGTTTCTGTATGTCAGTATATTTATAAAACGGTCAAGTAAAATACTGAAAATTACTTAGCAGATTGTCTGGAATATAGCATTAACAGGTTTTTCAACATTGAAGAGATAAAGGATGGTAATTTTAAGAATGTGTTAATGTTTATATCAGCAGTACAGCTATAAATCCTTTGAGTTCACATAGTAGAAGCAGAAGAAATTCAAGCCAAGTAGAACCCTCAACCTTTCCGAAAATCATATATCAGATTCAAAAGGTCAAATGTCTTAAGAGTAATCATCTTTCTTAAATAAATTTGAGAAGTTTTAAAAATAATTAAAATCAGTGAGTGAAATAAAAATATTGCATTTGAGTTTCAGTAATCCATGTTAAATATGTCTGCTGGAACACATAATCTGATTTTATTAACTTGATTTTTGAAATGGTCTTTTTGGTATTCTATCAATGCAATATAAGTGTATGTTCTCACATAATTAGATGAATTTGTAAATGATAAGCCATGAACATGTAGCTATGTTCTCACTCCGGGGATTTGAGGAAACTGACCTAATAAATATTAAGTAAATTCTCACAGTGGATCGTTCAGTTTCTGGTTTGTGTTAATTTTCTATGAGCGCTCAAGAAGTTCTGTGAGTTTATTCATGTAGCAATCGAGTTATGAAGGACAAACATTGTCAGCTTTGTTCTTAGGGAGAGTGGGAGAAGAAAGAGAAAGAAAATAAATTCTTATCTGTGCTAGTTGTATTCTTCTCATAGGAAGGAATGGAATCATTAGCTGAAAGAACAATTATTCTGCTAAGTTTAACTGTATTTTTATAGTGCTATCAAATGTTGAAGGCCCTCTTCTGATAATAATTAGAACATTAGGCTTGAGCTCATGATAGTTCCCACGCTCATTAAAGGATATCAAAGGCATACAACAGTTTTACGTGGTTTTTCTGCTGAACTCAAAACTTCCTTACTTTCTTAGCTAGAAATTTTGTCCTCAGAGCTGTACAAAGAATTTTATCCTTGGCTAATTTTGGGCAAAGTTGATGGATAAAAGAAAAGAAGAAAATGAAGAAACAGGTGGCCGTTTCCTACAGCGAGTCAAGTAATTGCCAGAATAGACAT